CCCCCCACCATTCCTGTGTTGGGACACCAAATCTAAGAGAGGATTTTTCTCTGCTGCTCACCACTCTGCCATCTTACTGGAAGTCCCTGTTCCATACATTCTGCAAACCTTTGGAACGAAGCACAAATGCATTTGCTTATATCCAAGAAAGAACACTTTGTACTAATCCTAATACTGGATTTGTCCATCTGTTTCAGGCAGTTTGAAGGGAACACTTGAAGATGATGATAACTTTGGTAGAACCCAATTATCGACTGCACAGAATGGCTAACTCAGGAGGAACATTATAGCTACAGGAGAGCTGTAATTCCAGCTCTCGGAAGGCTAGCCAAGAAGATTGCTATGAGTCCAAGGCCAGCCTGCACTAATAAGGCAGACCCACTCTCAAGAAAAAAACAAACAAAAAATGAACAGTATAAAGGGTTTGAATTTCTATTTAGGAATAGAAAATACTAAAGATGATAATAATATAAAGTGGTAAAAATACAAGTAGTTTCTTTTCAATTATATGTTCCTTCCAGACATGATTCTTAGCGATTGTTGAACATTTTAACATGATGTTGGACTTCTACAATAGATTGTACTGAGAGTTTTACTATTTTTTGAAAACTTTACATTTTTATTATAAAACAGGAATTACAAAGAGTTATTGTAATAATGTACTTTTCAGACTTGAAGTTTGTATTATATAAAATTATTTCTTTATACAAAATGCAAGTTAGGGGGATTTGTTTGTAAATTTTGGGTAATTTACAACCAAACAAATTTCCTAGAGCTGGCTGTTTTGTTTTCTGTATTTTACATTTAAAAAATAATTTTACAGTTACATTTTATGATGAAACCTCTTACAGAAATATTAACAAATGCTGAAATCTGCTGCATTTAAAATACTAAGTCAATAAATCATTGACCATTTTAAAAATTCTTGATCCCTTATTAAATAACTATCCTTTTATTAACCCATGTAATGCTACCCTCCATAATTTTTTTATACTGTGGGGGGCAGTAGGGTTTAATGATAAAAAAAAAAATTGATGTTTTGTTTTGTAATACAAAATGCACCAAAAAAGAGTAGTTTTAAGATTTTCATGTGACTTTTTTTGCTTCAGAAGTGCATAAAACTTTTTGGTTTCTAGAGACAAGATCCTTCTCTGTAATGCAGTCTGACTGC